AGGAGTTTAAACAGTCGCTGAAAAACAACCACATAATTTGTTCTTGCAAACTTTGTTTGTTCCGAAGCTTCTTTAGCTTTGTTTATTCCGAGTTCTGTTGCATGGTTGTGCTCCATTGATTTATTTAACTACAACTGTTCATTAACAACAGTTTATTAAGTTAAAGGTTTGATACTGATTTGAAATTGAAGTGATGATGAGGTCTTTAAATAGTCAAAGTCTTTTAAAAAGTCATTATGATGCATTGAAATTATCTTTAGGATTCCTGCATATACCCTGTGGCTGAATCAGCTGCCTATTGTGCATGAGTGTTGCTGTTGATATTGGTGTAATTTTAATATTTTTTAATATTGTGATAGTCAAGATTTGTGAAGTCATTCAGCTCCGGATAACTCAAAACAGCGACCACTAGTCATTCCTCCATCTTCAAAAGTCTCCGTAGTCGTCTTGACAACACAAACACTGCTGTCACCTCAACTGAAACTCCGCCTCTGCTTTCATTTGATTGGAAAATGAAAAAGACGCGACTGACATAAGGTGCTTTTGCCACTCAGAGTTTACCTTTTTAAACTGTGAGTGCACAGCATGCAACGACAAAAGTGCGAGGCACAGCAGGGAGTTAAAATGCAAGTCGCAGTAGGCAGTTAAAACACGAGGCACAGCAGCCGATTAAACAGTGAAGCGCACAGGGCACATAAGCAGCAAGCAAAACTTTCGCAGCCCTTAGTAAATTATTATGAAAAAAGCGCCTCTCAACGCAAAAAGCGTGTTCGGTGTGATCTGCCCCTTATTATGCCCTCCACAAATATGTGTATTAAAAAGGGATGGAAACACAGCTACTGATCTAACAAACTCCGACAGATTTGTTTGCTTGCATTCATTACTTTCAAACACTCTTGTGCAATCTTGAAGCGATGATCACTGTAGCCAGTCACAGCTATATATTTTGCACACTTTTTGCAGATTTTTTTCTATGAAAACACTACCAGGAATCTAATTATAGCACTCAAACCCAGAAAAGTTGTAATTGCTTGCTATGTCTTCTTTAAATTTACTAAATCTGGCGGGTAATGATGCAGAGTTAGGTTGCAGGACTGTGTCAGGTGTTGTTGTCCTCTGTAATGCTGTGTAGTAGAAGATGTCAGGTCACTGGAGTATTTGCTTTCATCGCTAAGTGAATCAGGGCAGGGCTTGGGAAGCCACACAGGGCCTCATGTTGCCGGGTTGCCAACAAGCACGCAAAGAGGCAGAAACAGAGACAGAGACGCCTTTGTCCCGTATGATGCCGAGGACCTTGTGACTGGAATTGTTCCACTGCTCCCCTTTCAGAAAAATGGCCGTTCTTTTGGGGCCCTGGATGTAAAGAGAGGCCTGGCCAGTGGTGTCTTTAGCAGCAAGTCGAGCCAACTTTTGCTTTTACTTCATACTGTAGGGTGGAATGATAAAAAAGAAACTAGTCTTATCACATTCATTTATTGCTGGACAGTACATAAAGCTCATGGATTATTAAGGGAAAATTTTTAACTTTTTTTCTGTGTCTTAATGAGGTTTTTTGTTGTTGTTAAGTGAACAAGTCGTTCTTATTTCATTGTTATTTTTTCATCAACTCTAGACTGCACTAGACTGCTTTAAAAAATCTGAATAGCCAGTGTTTTTATTCTGTTGTTTGACTGATTATTTATTGATTTAAGGGCTGGGCGATTTGGCCTAAAATCAAAATCTTGATTAATTAAACATTTTAACTCGGTTACAATTAATCAGCGATTATATTATTTATTTATAACATGTATTTTCCCTCATAGTTTACTGACAAGTTTTGTACATTAAATATGCTCACATATTACAAGTGATTTTAGAATGTAGGGTGGATTATTTTATTTTAAAATTATTGAAGTAAACACACATTATCTACTATCTATGATTATTTATTGAACACCAACGTTGAACAACTGAAATTAAAACACATGTTCCCTAAAACGTGTCTCTCTGCATCGCTGTCACTGATACCAAACCGACCAATCATAAAGTTTGTGCTATGTGTGGTTGTGATGTGTAAGTATATGTCTTTGAGAGGTGAGCGTGTATGCGAAGGCTGCGCCGGACTGCATATTACAAGGTGTCCGCGGGGTCCTAAAAAAATATACATACAGAGAATCCAGAGTCGTAGTCAATACACAGGCGAATGGTCAGTACAGGTAGCAGAAATTGCAAACAAAAAAACAAGGCGAGGGTCAAAACACAGCAAAGCAAGGCAAGAGAAATGTGTGGTAATGTTCACTGTAACAAATAAACAAGATTCAGCACTAAAGTGTGTGTGTGGTTTAAAGTCTATGTTATCTGTTCATGAGTGGCTCCCAGCTGTGAGTGTGCAAAATCAATAGAATTCCAAACAGGTGCATGTGAGCGGTGCATGACTGGATCCATAGTCCATATAATGGCGGATTTGAAGTCCTTTAGGGATATGTGTCTTTGTGACAATTAAGTAATTTAATTAAGTTATTTAATATTAATGTGGTATTTATTTATTTTGTTTGTTTGTTTATTTTTTTTTTACTTAAAGAAAATATGTTTTTGCCCAAGTGCTTGCCTTTCTTCATTATTCATGTATTATTATTATTATTATTATTGTTATTATTATTATTATTATTATTATTCACTACACAAAGATGAGTTTACAGTATTTTAATATTTTATTTAAAAATATATTTTACTGAATTATTACAGAAAGACAAGCATAATTCTAATTATTTATCTTTTCGTAATAATTATAAAGTACATCAGTGTTGCAAATATGAAAATAAATAAAAGAATTTAATTTATATATTTTTTAAATAAATAATAGCAGATATTAATAGTAATAGTATATTAATAATATTTTGTAAATTAGTAGCTACATAAGTAAAACATTTTGTTCATTCTTTTCTTGTTTTGTATATGTATATTTGTATTATTAATTTTTTTAAAGATTGACTGTAACACCAACCAATCAAAATGTGAATGTACCATCCCACCCACCATCATGAACCATGTCTGTGTTTTTAGCCTGAATGAGACTCATGAATGAACTGGGACGTCTTGTTTGTGAACAAACTGAACAATTGAAACATTGAGAACAAGTAACTGCTTGTAGTTTGTTCAGTTTAGCATGTGAATCACTGTTGTTTACACCACAGAGATAAGAATGGTGGAGTATTATCAGTGTGTATAATTGTGTAAAAATACACTGCTGTAGAACTCAGGCATCCGTATTTTAATAACACCACTTTTTCAAGACTTGGATAAGTGAATGATTCATTGACCCACTCACAAAAGATTCACTTTGTTGCCGCCAACTGGCATAATTACAGCTATGAAAAATGTCTCTGGATTTACTAGATTTATTAAGTATGGGTTTGTTTGAGTAAAGTGTTGTTGTCTTGGAATTTCTGATATAATTTGTTCTAAATGTCAAATAAAATATTGTTATTTAGAGATTTGATTTTTCAAAAACAATCACTATTGGCCATAATACCATATCAGGGTGTCCGCGGGGTCTTAAAAAGTCCTAAAATGTCTTGAATTTCAAAAGCAGAATTTTAGGCCTTAAAAAGTCTTAAATTCCCTGAAATATTGTGTTGTGTGTCTCGAAACATTTTAAACATGTCTTAATGTCCCTCTGTCAAAGTAAAGCTACCCAATCGGTCCAACAACCATCCAATCACCAGTAATAAATATGTGTTTTTATTGGAAAGAGCAATTGACAACAGCCATTTTTATGGCAAATTGTCCAAATCAAATTGTCTAATCAGGGAAAGAAATCTAAAAACAAGTACACAATTCCTCATGATAATAACAGAGCAGTGATCCTTCAGTTATACAAAAATATATACAGAAAAATAAGGGGAAGCGACATAATATTTATAAATAAGCATGGAATCGCTAAGGCTTTATAACAGGAAAGCATTTAAGAGTTAAACTCAATCCATTCGGACAAAAAGCCAACAAATATATGTTTTTGATCATTCATAAAATTTTGTCTATAATAAATATTTTTTTAACAATGTTAAACTTGTTATTGAAAAAAAGAAACTCTATGTTGAAAAAAGTATATACAAGTTTTCTTGTTTTGAAAAATTTAAAGAAATAACTTGTATCAATGACATTTAAAAAAAGCAACAACAACCGAGCCATTTGAAAAAAATCCTTAGTGTTTAGCCCTGTATAAGTCTAAAATTTCATTCCTAGTGGTCTTAAAAAAGTTCTTAAAAAGTCTTCAAAAGTCTAGATTATTCCACCAGATATTGAAGTAAAACAGCTGTTACATAGGTGTTTGACTCATGAAAACATGACTCCATTTTATTTAATGTACAAATTGCTGTAACTTAAATTTGGAAAATGTCTTCAGTTGCTTTCTGAATAAAAATGTAAAGTTTTATTCCAAATGCATAACTATAAAATCATTAATCCAGAGACATATCAAACTAAGAAGTCTCTTAATAACAAGTACTGACAAAAGTCTTTTAAATTGTCGATGGCTGTGTGAAACCTTTCAAAAGAGTCACTGATTGATTTAGAACAAATCATTTTTGTGAACAGCTTCAAAAGTTTTGAGTCGCTAAGATGAATCAGAACTGCTAACTCTAATGCAGTACTCTTTACACCAGAAAAATTAGCGCCAACTTTCAGGTTATAGAAGTGAATCAGTGTCTCCAATGTTCAACTGAGCACATTGTAGCTCAATGACAGATAAATATTCCATGGTGAACATGTGTTTATAATTGTGAAGGCCACAGAATTCCCTGATGCTGTTTGTAAAGAATGTGGGTGACGATATACTACTGCATTATGAGCTCTGATTAACTGGCTCCTGGTTAACATCATACTATCGGGGTGATCATATAGAATAATTCCTAATGATATCAAGTCTTTTAACAACTTGTTTACTTGGCATGCTAACAGATAATTAGGAAATGTACATAAATGTGATTCTGATGGGACTTTGTGTTTATCTGTGTTTCCAGAGTGACCGTCTCCTGATTAAAGGGGCTAAGATTGTGAACGATGATCAGTCGTTCTGTGCCGACATCTATATGGAGGATGGCCTGATCAAGTGAGTGTGAGATATCCATACACTTGAATATGTCCTGTTTTATTTGTAAAAATCATTCATTTTTACTATAATGTACTCAAGCACTGATAATAATCAACGGAATAATACCAACATATGAATTATTTGTCATTTTTAATATTCGAAATTTTACCACTATTTCACACTGCTACTTTTTATCCTTTTGTGGCCAAGACATTTTGAGAGATTAAGAATATAACATAATGTAGTATAATATTTTAGTATTAATATAATTTAGAATATGATATAATGTATTATAATATTGTAGTATTAATATAATTTATAAAATAATATAATGCATTATAATATTGTATTAATGAAATTTCTTACATAATATAATGTAATATAATGTAGTATAATATTGTAGTATTAATATAATATAATAAAATATAATATAATATAATATAATATAATATAATATAATATAATATAATATAATATAATATAATATAATATATTTTAGTTGGGTTGGGCGATGTTGACCAATTTGGCATCGTACGATGACTTATGTGAAACATCGCAATGGACAATGCCATTGTTGTCGTAGGCGGGGGTGGGTTGGTTGTTAAATATCAATTAATTCATAACAAATTAATTAATTGTAGCCTACAGTTTTCACTAACTGACCGACATGGTCTTTGCTTTACCCATAACCAAACCATATATAAATAAAGTTACAAACAAATGACCACCTGTCAATCACTTATTTTTCCGCATTCTAATGGCTTTTCCCACAGCTGGTGGAGGAGACGAGAGTTCAGTTGGAGTTCACTGCAGTGCATTGTTTTCACTGCAAAATCCTCATCGCGTGCGCAGATTTAGGAGACATTTATGCAGAATGCATCTTTGCACCTAAAATTGCCCAACACCGCACTCAGGAACAGATTAAAGCAGTTATGTGAACTTGCTGAAGTAAAAAAGCCTGCAATGCTTGCCCCGCCTTTGTGCTCTTCTTATGGGCTCACTGCTTTAGAACTAAACTCGAATAATTGGTTAATGTCAGCTGTCAATCACTCAGTCAATGCCTTCTGCCTTCAGATGACAGGAGCTACAATCGCGAAAATATGAAGTGCTGAAGATGAGAGAATGAAAATAACACTGACAGATTTACCTACAGTTATTAATAATGGCACATCTTATTAGTGATCATGTGCTGAATGTTAATCCACTATTTACACTTTTCCAAGAGTGGATAAAAGACTTCCAGTGTTTCAAGTCCGCTATGAAAATGACTAAAGCCATTCACTGTAAAGTCTGTGGGACGGAGTTTGCAGGTAACAGTGTTTGCCACTGAATCTACAAATTTTAAGTGCGAGAGGTTCTGTATAATCCTTCATTTAATCCTCAGGATGCTGTCAGCGTGCAAGTGGCAGCTATATGTAAAATTTAAAACAGCTCATGAAAAGACCGTTATTGCTATTCAGATGACATGTAAATAATAAGTTATATATCAATATAAATGTAGTCGCGATGGATCGCGATGCCGGCTCAGAATCGTGAAGTTTGTTGGCATCGTCTATCGGCACAACCCTATAATGTAGATTAATATTGTAGTATTAATAGTATAAAAAGTAGTTCCTCGTGTTTATGTATTAATAAGAACACATCAGAACAAGTATGCTGTTCATTTTTACATATCTGTTACGCTGAATGATAATAGAACATTAATTTACTCACGTCTTCATATTGTATTTTATTCAAATGTTATGTGAAATATTAGTAAGTAAAAACTGTCATTGAATATTCTTTCTACTCAATAAAATTGGTCCAAGTGTAAGTGTACAGCAACATTTGACTTCTTCTTCTTGGGACCTGTGTTCAAAATATGCCCTTATATCATATGACACATAATAAGATAATGCAATAGCCCTCTAAACGTGGCCCCTGAAATGACATTAAGGTTTATCAGATTGTATATTGCTTTTTCATATCTCACGCTCACTTACAGGCAAATTGGAGAAAATCTAATAGTGCCCGGTGGGGTGAAAACCATCGATGCCCATGGGCGCATGGTGATGCCTGGTGGTATTGATGTGCACACACGCTTCCAGATGCCTGACAGGGGTATGACTGCTGCTGATGACTTCTACCAAGGCACCCGTGCTGCTCTGGCTGGAGGAACCACCATGATCGGTATGTGTGAAACTCATACACCGAAAGCACATCCCAAATTGCATTCTTATGCACTATTCTACCCCATTTTGTAGTATAAGTAGTATACAGTGCATCTGGAAAGTATTCATAGCGCTTCACTTTTTTCACATATCTTTGTTACAGCCTTATTCCAAACTGGATGAAATTCATTAATATCCTCAAAATTCTACACACAATACCCCATAATGACAATGTGAAAAAAGATTTTTTTTTTAAATTGTTGCAAATTTATTAAAAATAAAAAACCTGAAAACTTTTCCACTGATCGTTCTTGAGATGTTTCAGCAGCTTCATTGGAGTTCACCTGTTGTAAATTCAGTTGATTGGACATGATTTGAAAAGGCATACACCTGTCTATATAAGGTCCCAGGGTTGACAGTGCATGTCAAAGCACAAACCAAGCATGAAGACAAAAGAATTGTCTGTAGACCTCCGAGACAGGATTGTCTCGAGGCACAAGGCTGGGGAAGGATACAGAAAACTTTCTGCTGCTCTGAAAGTTCCAATGGCCGCAATAGCCTTCATCATCCATAACGCCACATTCACACGGGGCGTCAGCATCAATGCTTCCCATTCACTTTGAATGGGTGACATCAGGCGTTGCCGAACTGCATTGTGGATCCGTTGGCGCCGCTTCAGAGGCATTGCTCGCTGCAGAAGTTGGGACTAGCTCAACTTTTCAAGCGCCAACTGAAGCATCAGCTAATCAGATCGCTGTATGCAAATACACCAGCTAGACAGTGGCCTATTGCTGACTGAATGTCATTGGCTGACACTTCTATGACCACCGCTTCAGCCCCAATTTCAGACACGCTTTCAGTCAAGCGTTGACGCTGAGGCGCCGTGTAAATGGGGCGTAAGAGAGAAAGATGTTTGGGTCCACCAGGACTCTTCTTATAGCTGGCCGGCCATCTAAGCTGAGTGATTGGGGGAAAAGGGTCTTAGTCAGGGTGGTGATCAATAGCCTGATGGTCACTCGCTGAGCTCTAGCATTCTTCTTTGGAGAGAGGAGAACCCTACAAAAGGATAGCCCCCTATGCAGCAATCCACCAATCAGGCCTGTATGATATAGTGGCCAGGCGGAAGCTCCTCCTCGCCTTGAATTTGTCAAAAGGCATCTGAAGGAATCTCAGACCATAACAAACTAAATTTTCTATCTACCTTTTTATCTTAGTGTAATACCATCCCCACAGTGCAGCATGGTGGTGGCAGCCACATACTTTGGGGATGTTTTTCAGACTAGTTAGGAAAGAGGGAAAAATGAATGCAGCAATGTACAGAGACATGCTGAATGAAAACCTGCTTCAAAGTGCTCTTGACCTCAGACTGGGGTGACGGTTCATCTTCCAGCAGGACAATGACCCAAAGCACACTGCCAAAATATCAATGGAGTGGTTTCACAACAACTTAGTGAATATCCTTGAGTGGCCCAGCCAGAGCCCAGACCTAAATCCTATTGAACATTTCTAGAGAGATCTGAAAATGGCTGTACACCGTCGCTTCCTATATGAAACCTGCTAGAGCTTGAGAGGTACTGCAAAGAGGAATGGACAAAAATTCCCTAAGACAGGTGTGCCAAGCTTGTGGCATCATATTCAAAAAGACTTGAGGCTGTAATTGCTGCCAAAGGTGCACCAACAAAGTATTGAGCAAAGGCTGTGAATACTTAAGTACATGTGATTTTTCAAGTTTTTTATTTTAATAAATTTGCAACAATTTAAAAAAAATCTGTTTCACATTGTCATTATGGGGTTTTGTAAGTAGAATTTTGGGGAAATAAATTAATTTAATCCATTTTGGAATAGGGCTGTAACCCTTTAATGCTGTCCCATAGTGCCCATTTTTGTTATCACGTAATCTGTTCAAGCAAAATCACATGACTAATGTGCTTGCTGAAATTTTTTTCAGCAAATGTGTATTCATCATAGTTTATGTGCACTATTATGTGTTAAATTATATATTTTTTCAAAGTTTCTTGGCATTTCCATAAGCATTTTTATGCAATATTACAAAATGCACATAAAAATAGGAGGATAGAAACAGCTACTGTGATACATTTGCCAGTGGTGTAATCAGATAACACAGTTTATTGATGTTAGATCTGCTTTATGCTGTTTTCTCGAGCCACCAGTATCCTTTATGATCAAGCCATCTTTTCCAACATCTAACAGCATTGCAGACAGGATGGAGACGGTGTGCTTAAAATAGCACACGTTTTATGTCTCTGTTTGTCCTCGTTTGTGCTCACAGCAGCATTATTACCTGATTGAAATGCATTTTGATCCACAGTTGATCATGTGGTGCCTGAACCCGGGACGAGTTTGATCTCAGCCTTCAATCAGTGGAGGGAATGGGCAGACAGTAAAGCATGCTGTGATTATTCTCTTCACGTGGACATCACTGAATGGCACAAGGGTGTTCAGGAGGAGATGGAGGCACTCGTCAAAGACCATGGTAAACCCCTGCCAGTGTTAACTCATGTAAACATCTGTGTGTGGTGTACAAACGCAGCAGAGTTAGCATTTACTCCATCAGTCAGGAATCCTGCTGCTGCACTGTTTCACCTTCTCCTTCATTTCCCTCTGTAATTTCATACGCTGACTCTGTGTGTGCAGGCGTTAACTCTTTCCTCGTCTACCTGGCCTATAAAGACTTTTTCCAGCTCACTGATTCACAGGTATGACTTCCTTTATTAGCTGTACCCAAGCTCTTGCTATTTTAAGGATCTTATGAATAACAAAAATATGTCTGTCATATTTTAACCACAGCATCAAAAGGGAGAAAGAAAAATGTATATAATAAAAAAGTAAATAAGTAAACAATAATAATAATAATAATTTAAAAAACCCTAAAGATTAAAAAATTCTAAAGAAAATAACATTTCTGTGATGAGTAACATTATTTTCATTCTGTGATGAAAATAACATTTCTGTGATGAGTGCCAAACATTCTAGGATGCCCTAAATTCCAAAAATATACCTCATGGCCAAATATTATAGGTCTTGCAGTGATAATTAGGCCCTCACGGAATCTATGGACACAGAAATCCGCAGATTTCCACAGATGTTTGGCCTCTCATCGAGTCTCTGTATTTACTTGTATAGATGTGTGTAAGTTTATATTTATTCCATTTTTAAATTAGTTTCACTAATATTATTGTTTTATAATAATAGTAATATTAAAATGTTGATATGATTTATTCACCATACAGTTTATAAAGTAATATCTTCTGTCTTTTAGTAGACTTGCTTTGTTTACTGAATAAGTGGATCTAATTGGATTTGCATTGTAAACATTAAATAAAAATTTAAAACACATTATTTTTTATTTCATATATTAAGTTTTTAATTATGTTACTCCTAAAATAATTTCTTATAAATCTCCAGATTGTTAACCAAATTCTCAGCAAAAAGAGCAAAAAATGTCTGCAGATTCTGACTGCCACTGGTGATTTAACAATGCAGAAGATCTTAAATAGCCTAGAATTGTTTTTAAATTTTTACGTGTGTATTTTTTACATTTATTTATTTATTTATTTTTTACATTTATTTATTTGTATTTTTATATTAATTTGCCAAATGATGTAATTAGAAAAAATACCATAGTTTGACTGTGGTTTTTAACATGTACATACTATTTGATAAATAACTTTAATGAAATTTATTAATTCTTTGTAATAAAGAGTATGGGAAAATGCCCAAAAATCTATTCTGGACTGAATGATCTCAACATTAATTGTATTTAAATTGTAAGTTATTAACTTATTAATTCATTGATGTAATTATTCATTTCATTTACTAATGTGCTTATTTATTTTATGGTTTTGAATGTAACAGAAAAATGCCTATGTAATAAAAAAATTAATAAACCAAACAACAAATTAATACAATTTTTCATTAAGCCATTCAATCAGTCAGTTTTTATATTTGTTATTTTAAGTAAAAGCCTATGGAGGACCAAATCAGTGGACTTTAAAATAAAAAAATAAAAATGTAATACATTTTTAAAATTTGGTCCTGAATTCATTATCCCTGCAGGCACAGGATGTCAACATGATGTCAGATTGATGTTGTGCCCCTACATCGCGCGATGTTGCATATTGTGTTTGGAAATGAAAATTGGGTTGAAGTTAGGCCGACATCAATGTTAACAAAACAAACAACAAAATATTAACATCTAAAGCCTGGTTTATACTTCTGCGTCAAGTGACCGGCGTAACCCACGGCGCATGCAACGCGCGTAGCTGTGCATTTATACTTCTGCGCGCTGTCTCTGTTAGTCTGCATTAACACTTCCGAAACGCTAGTTGGCAGTGAGGTGTAAATGTTTCTCTGTGTCGAGTTTCTTCGCTGATGTTTTGCTTTTCCTAAACACTTCCTGGATGTACAAGTGGCTCAAACTCGCTCATTTTGAGGCAGGAACCGGCGGACGTGCAACAACTTTAACTATGAGGTAAACAAAACAAAACTTTCCATCAGGAGCTCCTTCACAGGACTCCACATTTGTAAACAATCGCTCCATCAGGCTCGCGTCCAGCCATTCGCACGGCTCTCGGTCCCGCCCAGACTCGTCAGCGCTACCAAGCCGACCAATCACAGAGCTTGCGCTACGCGTCGTTGCGACGTGTAGTTACATTTTTGAGAGGTGCACGTCAGCGACCATCGGCGAAGGGCTATGCGTCAGCGCCGTAGCATACGCCGGCGTTTGACGCAGAAGTATAAATCAGTCTTAATGATGTTACAGCTGGACGTTGTGTGGACGTTACCAATATGATGTCAATCAAACGTTGGATTTTAGTTGCCATACCTGATGAATAAATGTCAGTATTTGACATCAGTATAACATTGGTTTAAGATGTTGACTCAACATTGGATTTGGGTCATTTTCCAACACAACCTAATATCAACAAACTATTAACGTTTAATGATGATACAGCTGGACGTTGTGTGGATGTTACCAATATGACGTCTATTAGACTTTGGATTTTAGTTGCCATACCTGACGAATCAATGTCAGTGTTTGACATCAATATAACATTGGTTTAAGATGTTGACTCAATGTTGGATTTTTCCAACTTTTCAACACAACCTAAAATCAACAAACTATTGATGTTTTTTATTGGACGACAAAATAAGATTGTCTCTAGAGTGACCTAAGTCTAACCTAATATTATGACGTTGTGTGTCTGCTGGGATGTTGCTTTTTTCACTATTCACTATTCAAACAATTCCATAATATTTCATTAAGAATTAGTATATTAAAGCACCACGCATGTTCAAAACCACAGTGCTCCAATATAATAATTCTCAATGGTTTATTAGTACAGTCCCTTGCTAATTTATAAACAAATGATGCATAAATAGTCAGCCGATGAGTATTGCATCTGTTTTAAGCATGCTTCTGTCATATTTGTCAATCCTTTCTGAGTTTAGCCCTTGAATGAGTTCAGATGTGTGTTTGAGTGCAGATCTACGAAGTGTTCAGTGTAATTCGGGACCTCGGGGCCATCGCTCAGGTCCACGCTGAGAACGGAGACATCATAGCCGAGGTGAGATCCTCAGTCCAGCACTGAACTCCATTACTCACAGTTACTATCAACAATAAACTGTTTGGAGATGTTAAATCAAAACATATGTTCCCCAATGAACACTCAGACTTTATACTGGCATGCTAAACCAAAGCAAATATTCCTACATGAGGTCGATATAATTAATTGCAGATGACTTTTGGCTACGGATAGGTATATTTATCATGATGAAGATAAGCAAATGCTTTGTAATGAGGACAAAGTTTGGTTGTGTAGATAAAATGTATTGTTTTTTTTAATATATACAGTATATTGAGATTATGACATCATTGTTTAAAGATTCAGCGAGCTCATGCTTTTGTTATCTTCTCATTCTGCTGTCTCTATGTATCTATGTATCTATCTATCTATGTATCTATCTATCTATCTATCTATCTATCTATCTATCTATCTATCTATCTATCTATCTATCTATCTATCTATCTATCTATCTATCTATCTATCTATCTATCTATCTATCTATCCATCCATCCATCCATCCATCCATCCATCCATCCATCCATCCATCCATCCATCCATCCATCCATCCATCCATCCATCCATCCATCCATCCATCCATCCATCCATCCATCCATCTATCCATCTATCTGTCTGTTTATATCTGTCTGTCTGTCTGTCTGTCTGTCTGTCTGTCTGTCTGTCTTTCTGTCTTTCTTTCTTTCTTTCTTTCTTTCTTTCTTTCTTTCTTTTCCACAGGAGCAGCGCAGGATCTTGGACTTGGGTATTACTGGACCAGAGGGACATGTCCTCAGTCGTCCAGAGGAGGTAAATAGCAGTAAATTCTGGGGAATGATTTTCCATTTTCCCTTTAGTAGGAGTCTTGGTTTGTTCTGCAAACATTTCTAATGATTTGGTTTCTCCATGATTCAGGTGGAGGCGGAGGCAGTGAACCGCTCTGTAACAGTCGCCAATCAGACCAACTGCCCACTTTACATCACTAAGGTGATGAGCAAGAGTGCCGCTGATGTCATCGCCCAGGCCAGGAAGAAAGGTGAGACGCAAAGCAATGACGGAAGCCTGTGATTCATTCTGAAGGCCTTCCACTCCCAAGATTGAGTGGTTTGAAGGGTGTAGTGGACCAAAGAAACTGACAAATTAAACACGCACAAAGAATCATTGTCAGTTCTAACCTTAGACATCCTTTATTTTAAAGCACCTTTTTGAATGGCTGTTCAGTATGGCAGTCATGACTGTTTTCACTTAGAGTTACCCTTTGGCTTTATGAGGGCAGCATGGTTGCCTCACAGCAAGAAGGTTGCTGGTTTGAGTGCTGCCTGGACCAGGAGATCTTTCTATGTGGAGTTTTCAGGTTCTGCCTGTGTCTGTGTGAGCAATTACAAAAAACGCCAGAAAAGATCAGTTTGACAGCACATGTGCTGCAAATCGTCACAACGGAAACACATTTTTAAAAAACATGCTGAATTTTCCCACAACGTAAACAATTAATAAAACACACTGCATTTTCTCACAACGCAAACCGTGACGGACAGCGCTGTGCAGTGTCTATTGCTCAGTGTAGTTGTAGGTGATCTTTGAAAGGTGACTTTTGTTTGTTTATTTCAATATCTTGATTTCTAGTGTCTTTAGAATTTATTAGCCATAATAACCATAACCTAAAAAGCCGGGTTCGTCATGTTTTTTTGGGTGTTCTTGAAACATTTCTGTTGTGTTGTGAGAAAATGCAGCACGTTTTTTAAAAATGTGTTTGCGTTGTGAGGATTTGCAGCACATGTTGTCAAAATGTTGAAGAAATTTCCGCTTTTTGTAATTGCACATGTTTTTTTTTATTTGCAGCACATTAAGCTCTCTCGGCCGCTGTAGAATTGCTTAAATTTAAATTGTGTGTGAATAGGAGAGTGTGTGGGTGTTTCACAGCATTGAGGGTTGTAACTGGTTTGGCACTTACCAGTAAAACAAATGCCAGAGTAATTGGCCATGGTGAACCCTGATAAAACAGGGAATAAGATTAAGAAGAGTGAGTGAGTGAGTGAGTGAGTGAGTGAGTGAGTGAGTGAGTGAGTGAGTTAGTGCTTGAGTGAGTGAATGAGTGAGTGAGTGAGTGATTGAGTGAGTGAGTGAGTGAGTGAGTGATTGAGTGAGTGAGTGAGTGATTGAGTGAGTGATTGAGTGAGTGAATGAGTGAGTGAGTGAG